TTAACACACACAGGATACGTACTGTACTGTAACACCCATTTGTTAGCTCCTTACGTACACCAGTGACTTTTACTGGGCACAAACATCCAGTACACAAAGGTGTACTTAAAAAGTGCAAACTTTATACATGCTGCACACGAACACATTTATCTCTTGTATGTTTTGAACATTATTTTGTGGGCTTAGTCATAATGTTTCATGGTGAGGGGAAAAACTAGTGACTTTGATATGATTGGTCAAGATACAGAGATGCATAGCAGCATTTATTGTCAAACTATAATCTGCCTTTAGACCATTTGCATGATTTCTTTGATACTGTATCATATTTGAGTAGGATGAGTACTGTACAGTATATACACTTTCTTTCTGCTTTGAAGGTTTACCCTCCATCTGGCAAAGTGTAAACTGACTCCTCTGTGTATTCAATTGGAGGCAGGAGGCCTCACACTCCAAATGGTGACAGGTTTTTATGTGTGACAATGGGCAACAGGCTTTAGCAGGAAACGAGACACCTGTTGCTCTGGTGCGATTACCGCATTTCGCCAACCAGATAAATATTGATTTCCAGATTTTCCCGAAAAATGAGTAAGTAACCTTTGCCTATATTGTATTTATTTTATTGTTTTACTGATTTTATTAAGTGCTTCGCAGGAATAGACGAAAGAAAAGGGGGCGAAAAAAAGAGGGGATACAGACAAGAAGATATGTAAAAACACCACCAAAAATATATACATTTAGCATAACTTTAGAAAAGTTTATGTGGGTTTTTACGAAATGTGCAGAATCCTAGAGAAAGTGGTGTCTGTCGCAACAACTTTTAATACTCAACCACAAAACTGCTCATCCGTCACCATCTTTCAAAATGACTCATGAGAGTTTGATTAGCCCCACCCCTCTGGATTCATTCATAGTTAAGGTACTTTAGGTACTAAGGTTGGGCAATATTCTTTACATTTTCCAAACGTCCATCGCCAACCAAGCAACCGCCGACTGTGGATATATTTGCGCATGTTTTTCGAGCAGCGGAGCGTCATAAAACACACTTCATTCAAACTTCACGGGAAACAAACTAAAACTCACCAAATCCATCTTGGTTGGTCTTTCTACTGTTCCAACAATCAACCAACTCTGGTTTGTTCGAAATCAATGTTCGATGGAGTTACATGTACAAATATGCAGGATATGCTGGCTCTACACACTGTTTTCCCCCACTTTCTCTCTCTCTGCAGCTAAAATTGAGAAAAATTGCCCCAGGCAAAGTATTCAGGCAATCGTCAAAAGCCAATTTATTCGTCCAGTTGCCCAACCCTATAGGCAACTAATCGGTTATGGAAAGCTCATGTACATAATTGGGTTAAGTGATGTCAGCGTTCACGTCACACAGATAAGTATAAGTAAATCCATCACGTGTGTGAATAGGTAAGGTTAGCCTTCTAGATGAAAACCAATCAAAGTGAAGCTAAGCTAGGGAAGACAGCAGCTAAATCCATGCAGTGATAACAAGTCCATATCCAGATGATAAAAGCAGTATTAGACAAGATGCGCTTGCAACTAATTGGTCCACAAGCATACAGCAGTTGTTGACCCACATAGCCAAGATGTCTGAATATCATATCCAAACAAACTAGTGGTTAAAACAGTACACAGAAGCAAACACAGATTAAAAGGATTATCCCTCCCCCCGTCATCCACCCTTTCTGCCCCCAAATAGACCACTTTATTAACCCCATTTCATCATCTGGACCCCCTGTTGAGAATAAATTAGCAATTTCCAGAGTCACAATTATATTCCATGGTGTAATGGAGGTGAAAGAAGTGTAATCCTCCTCACAGGATGCATTACGTAGGACTTCCAGTGGTGTTGTTTCCCAAGAAATAAAGCTGGTTGATAAAGTACATGAACGTTGAAGACATTGCAGACATTTCTGTGAAAGATGCAAGCAACATTTGGGCCAATTTGCAAAAGCTGGCCTGTTTAAAATCGATTGCACAAAATATACTAATGCGTCTTTATCTCGATCTCCATTGTGATACAACAGCGATATACATTGCTGCACCATTCTAAAATGAAAAAAATAAACACCAGGAACAGATCTAGAATCTAAGAGTTGATTAGCTAAAAAGAAGAAAGTTTGAAGGAACATCATAGACGAGAGAGAAACAGCAATCCCCATCTTAAGTTCAGTGTTCAAATTTTAAGTTGGACAAATGTCAGTGGATTTATGACCGCCTCTGTTTGTTTGAAAAGGCAACACTGGCATCAAGTGGCCAGAAATATTATTACAGATACTGCGCACGCACACAACCACAAGACACTACTTGCATGCAGTAAACTGCAACAGTAAAGTGATTAGCTGTACACCAGTTAAGCAATCACGTCCAAAGTAAAGCCACAATAAATTCCTTAGAGATGTTCCTTAAAGCCATTTTGCATTAAATGATGTCTTCTAATCATATCTTTGAATACATGCAATAACTACAACGTATTATTTTTTACCATTGCATCCACACATATTGCAATAATAATAACAATTACAAAAATAACAATTCTACAATATGTATTGTCAGTGAACAAGCCCAAATTGTCTGCCCCATTGTCTCTACGTGTTGATGACAGTTGACAGGCCACTGCTGCTCATCAGAGAGTGAAGCCTTCATCGCATTGTGCCTGAATAGGCCTTTAGTTCTCAAAGAGTTACAAGTGTTCTGATGCCATTTCAATGCCTGATGCCATCTTATTTTGTAGCCCTTTCTTTTCATACTGGTGTTGAAGTAGGTGTTGAGCAGAATTTGGTTCTACTGTATACGTGTCTCTGTAGCCCTTTAGTCCAAATCTCCACCATAAAGGCCTTTTTGTGGGCTTTGCAAATTTGCCTTTTTCAGTTTTGAAAAATCATTTTCACAAAGAAAAAAGTTTCTTATTCTTTTGTACTGTATTTATTATGAGGATCATGGTGTGCTACAGTGTAAAGGTGTCCTGTCATCTCATTCTGCAGTCTCACTCTCTGTTGTTTTGTCTAGGGAGGTATTACATTCTTCTTTAAAAACATCACTATTCGTAAAACAGCTTTTTATGTCCTTTCATTTTATAAGGGTTGTCAAGCAACCTCATGACATCATTGAAATAAAAATGAATGACACTGTGCAGAAAAAAGTATAATAGTGCCACATTCCTGCAGCCTGTCCTGCATGTCTGCATTTTTTTTATTGTATTGAGCCAGTATAAGGGCACAGAACATTTCTGTCCATAAAATTTTACTACTGCAGTTTCAACGTTTTGCAGTGATGTCATGAGATTGCACTACCACCAATCCCGGTAGCTATGCATTTTATTAGCAAAGCCACATGTTGCTACTCTACTGTAATTCACAGTCTGCCTGTAACGGAGAGGTGTCTCGTGCTCCAGAAGCCATACTCACTTCTTCAACCTAATAAGTGACCTAAAACTTGCAAAATATATATTTTGAATCTATTTCGTTACCTCATTGGGTTCTTTCATTTGGTTGTAGTGTGTGACTTTGGTGTTGTAAAGGGTTAGTTTGGATTTATCAAAGTCACACAATAACACAAACCCACTTACCAATCAAGGCAGCGGTAGACCAGCAACAAGGAGTCTGGTGGTCCCGTCGGAAAGGGCTCTCTGACGACAAGGTAAATATAGCTAAACATAGCGTACCCTTAACCTGACATTGACCTGCCCCCATCACCCTGTGTGACTCCCTGCTCGCCGCTGTGGAGTCCTTCTGCTTCCTGGGCTCCATCATAACCCTGGACTTCAAGTGGGAGCTGAACATCATCTCCATCACCAAGAAGGCTCAGTAGCAGGATGTACTTCCTGAGGCAGCTGAAGAAGTTCAACCTGCCAAAGACAATGATGGTGCACTTCTACACAGCCATCATTGAGTCCATCCTCTGCTCCACCATCACCGTATCATTCGTTCTGCCGAGAGGTTGATTGGCTGCAATCTGCCGTCCCTCCACGACTTGTTTGCCTCCAGGACTCTAAAGGCCGGTAAGAAAGATTATGGCCGACCCCTCTCACCCTGGACACAAACAGTTTGAGTCCCTTCCCTCTGTCAGGAGGCTGCGGTCCAACAGGACCAAGACCTCACACCACAAGAACAGTTTCTTCCCGTCTGCAGTCGGGCTCATCAACAAAGCCCGGGACCCCCACTGACTCAGACACTTATTTCCCTCGGACAATTACTTACAGTTACACACCCTTGCACAACTCTTCTCTTTAAAAATACATTTGACACACAACTAATTTACTTGTTTTAACGTACTCTTAATTTGTTTATCATATTTTATTGAAAATATTAATATTTTCTACTTTTAAATGACTTTACTATTGCACTGTTTACTGTCACGCACCAATCACTAAGCCATATTCCTTGTATGTGTAACATACTTGGCAACAAAACGTTTCTGATGGTGATTCTGATTTTTTAAGGTGTCTAAAATACATTTTGCTGCTGCACCCGTGCACAGCAGTTCATTAAAACATTGTGGTTAAGGTTATAAAGATTGTGACACTCATAACAACTTCTGCCTTTTTCTGAGGAATTTCATGATTTGCAATTCCTCAAGAGGAAATCTTATTTTTGTCTTGGGCCTGATTTTATCTCATCCCTAAATAAATAAAGGCAAAAACAACTCCTGCTCGCTGTGCTATTTACATTTTGCATTTAAAAGTATCCAGCCTGAAGACAAATAAACCATTTTCATAGAAATAGTCAGAATTTTAAATATCACGCTGTCCTATCAAAACGGTTGTGAATGATATATACTGTAGAGGTATCAACTAGTACACTGCCATTTATCTTTCATAGATTTTATAGAACTTTGGCAATTTCTATTCAAAATCTACTCTCAAAAAAAGTTATTTTGGAGGATGCTGATAAACAAAGCAAACTAAGCTGAAACCTCTAGATTCCCATTGATTGAGTGCAACAGAAAAGCCAAATTGCATGTTTGACAAAAACACAAACAAAATGATGTACATTTTGATTTGTACTGCTTTTTTAATGTGTTTTTCCATCAGAAATAGTAAAAGCCATATAATGTAGCAAACCAAAAAAATGACAAAGCTCTATACAGGCATAGGAGCTCATTCACACACATTCTACAGTCCAGACTGATCTGTCAAAGTGGGCAGACGCCACTGGAGTTTCCATCTTGGCAGACAAATGGCGAAAACATTCAGTTTGAAGTAGAGGACGTTCTCTTTTCTCAACAAGCATTTTGTAGGCAAAAATATAGATTCTTCTGTCAAGGCATAGTCGTCACGTGAAAATCAATACCTGATCTGGAACGGGCGGGGCTGAGTCAGACTTGAGGGTACTGTGCCCAGATTACAGTCAGCAGCGTTAAGGTAACAACTTGACTTGAGCATGCAGGCTCTTGCGAATAAATAATGAAACATTCTGGTCACATATAAAAGTGCTGTATTTTTTGTTTTTTTAAACTAAATTTGAGTCAGAATGAAGACCCCTGAACTAACCCTTATTTTAATTAGTTTACATCATGCTGCCAAGTGATCCTAGATCATCAGGCATAAAGGAGGGAGTCATAATCTCCATTACTCAGTCCTTGAATGGGACTTTAAAGGGCACATATCATGCTCATTCTCAGATGAATTCAGGTTATTCTAATGAGCCTGCATGTGACATAGGAAGGGGAGCCAAAAGCTGAATGGCTTTTCAATCACATGTTTTCTGATCTAGGCAGCCCACAAACCTAAATGTATGTGCTCAAGCACTGAAAAAGTGAGTTTTTCATGATGTGGCCCCCTTTTTTAGAATGCAAAAGAAAACTCACTCTCTAAAAAAAAAATAGCATATGAATTAACATTAAAATGAAAGATCATTTTGCCAGCGATCTGATTACTGAAACGTTTACCCTTTGACGTGCTAAAATCACAGCTAAAACACTGTTAGAATAAAAGTGGTTCCTTTTGCGATGATCTTTCCTCACCACATGAGGGCAACAGCTACTGACTGATCTGACTAGTGTTCCCCCAGACCCATGCTGAGGTGCTGTAGAACTACAGGAATTATTATTAAGTCCTGCCTCCACCCATGCAATTATTATGACATGAAATGGGTCTGTCAATTTCCATATCGTCACTTTTTACAAGTAGAAAGACACTGATAATACTTCAACATTTAAGTGCTAAACTTGGACAATGTATTTTCTTGGCAGGTTTAATTAATAAAACAATTGTGTTGGCATATCTTTTAGGATAACTCCAATTTGGACTTTAGTAACAGCAATCTTTCAAACAAAATATTTTCCCCTCTCTTAAAAACAAAAACAAAGCCTTCCCTAGAAAACAAGAATGTTAACAAAAGGAAGTAATGCTGTGAAAAAAAAAACATTTTAAAATACAACAGTTTGAAATGCACACACTTTACACCTTATATATATGTCAATGCACTTGACTTTAGCCAAAATAAAAAAGCAATCTTTTCATCTCGCTTTCAGTAATCTTGATGTATACTTTATAATACATGTATACACGATAACAGAGCAACAAAGCAAAAAAATAAATATCTTAAGTCACTGTTTGGAAGTTTTTTTTCATATATATATCTGTATATGTATATTTATATGTATAGCTTACTTTTGGGTAGGGTGTGAGTGTTAACAGTATTGTTCGGCTGACGCAAAGAGCTTCTTTCTATTGACGGAAACTTTGAACACAGAAAACTGAAGAGCAGTATAAGGCCCTGATCAGACAGAGCTCCTTTTAGCAGCCTGGGGCGGCTTTTTTAAATTGTTTTCAATGACAGTGAAGTGTTGCTGCGCGTCGAGTTGAAAAAGATTCAACTTGGTTAGAGCAGGTCGTCCTTTAACCACAAGGTTGGCGGTTCGATCCCCGGCTCTTACTGTCTTAGTGTCCTTGTTCTACCGAGACACTTAGGTAGCGTACAGTTTGCGTTAAGCTAACGTTAGCACTCATTTAGTTTGTTTCTCGCGGCTTCCTCCTGCAGAACGTTCTGTGTGTGATCAGGGCCTAACCGGAAACACTGTTCTATGAAGATCGCCCTCGCAAGACAACTTCCAGCCCTTCAGTGGTGAGCGAAATAGCTCGGCTAAGCGCTGCGCAGACTGTGAGGTCAATGACAGCAGATGGAAGCTAAACCCCTGTCTGATCCAAAACGATCAAGAGACTTTGCGTGGATGCAGTGATTCAGTGACATTTAGCGTTCACTTGGATGCCGTCGATGCACAAGAAAGTAGTTTAAAACGATATTGCCAGACCCTATAGCTGCACTTCAGAGGCACAACATCTGTTGCATCTTTAGCGACACTACTACATTGAACAAGGAAAGACCTGTGGGATTTTGGAGAGCAATCTCATTTCCAAGTTTGGCTATTTGCATATTTAAGACAGCCTGGGAGAGTTGTATGTTCTTCTTTTTCTTACAAAGCTCTGCATTACAAAAGAAAGTCAGGCACCAAATGTCATCTAGAACAGTCCTACTCATAAAGCAATCTAGAATATTTACACACCAGCTGCAAAGATGTCCGAAAACATTGTTTGCAAGATGGCAACGGCGCATAATTGACCTACAGTATCAGTACAGAAAGAAACAGTATTTTTGATTAAGCAGCCATATTTGTTTTACAAAAGAATACTTCCGACCCTCCGACAGTGGCACACTATACACGCCCTGACTACTTTTTTTTTAAATCTTTGGTTGACCAGTCAAAATCCTGATAGATTTACAATCCACCTTTACATCACACAACTTGACTTCTTTTTTTTTCTTTCTTCTTTATAAAAAAACAATGAACAAAAATGAAACAACTGCTAAAAAAATAACATTTGCACACACAATGTCATTTCCTCTTCCTGTTCATGTGTTACCCTGCCGGGGGAGATCAGAATCGCCTCCCGTCCCATTGTCACACACAACCACGCCCCATCCCTGCACTTCCTCTGGTCCATTCTGGAGTCCGTCCAAGAAGAAAAGCACATGCATGCAAGCTGCGCACACCCAAACACACACACACACACACACCCACACACACACACACACACACACACTCTCTGTCTCTCAGACACAAACACACTGAGACATGCACGTAAATGTAAAAGAGCGGAAGAAATAAGGCGACGCGTGAAAACCAAATGCTGAATTGTCCAAAACAAAAAAGTAAGTGTCCGTCGATAAAAGGAAAGAAAATAACCAAAGGTGTTTAAAAAAAAAAAAAAGAAAAAAAAAAGTGCCAGGGGGTTTGCTGACAGCTCTCATCGTTTCTGCGAAGCGATCATCTTCGAGACAAAGTTGACGATGGCGCTGGCAGGCTGGTCAGCGTCCATCTCAGCGAAGAGGTGGCTGACATTGTCCGTTGTGCTTCCCTGCTTACGCGCCACAAACCCAAACAGCCTGCAAAGCCCACATCAGAGATTCATTTGTAAAAGCTGCCATGTTTAAGCATTGGAATGTGTCTACAATGGAATGCATGTCAACAGACTAATTCATTGAATAAACTGAAATGATATATATTTATAAAGGAGATTTACATTTTCTTTAGATTCAAAATAGCAAAGTTACCCTTTAACTTGAAGATGGTTGACAATTGTGTTAGTTAAATACCCTGTAGGTATCATTCAGGTAAAACGATTATACAACTGCCTACCAAAATATTACTGGGTGCTTAAATCATATTGCGTGTGTCTGATTAAATAGTTTACACCTTCTTTTCTCAGACATTGAATTTCGGATGCAGTTTCCTCTGCTGCAGCGGATGCAGCCTCTAGTCATACTGCTTAACCCCAACAGGCCATTATCAGCAGTGCTGCTTTTCTTCTATTTTAGCTGTGCAAAACCAGTCTTTCAGTTAGGGCAAATGTCATTAGACTTAGTGAATACCCCCCACTGAATGCCATGCTTCACGTAACCCTGCCGTCCATGCTTGCTCTATAGAAATATCAGATCAACAGTGGCACTGTAATCCACAGAGGTTTACTTACTTGGCCATTCCTCCCTCAGGCTTGTTCCACCTGAAAAGATTTGAAGAAAGTAAGTGTCAACATTCTGATGAATTGTGGACTTGCTGGTACATTTTTAGGTTTTCTGAGACGTCAACTACAATAATAGTAGAAGTAAGAATACAAATAGTGGACAAAGAGCCATTTTCTGATTTTTAAAGTAATTTGGAACTCATCGATGGCCAAAAACAAACATTTTAGGAAATCATTTTCATTTCTCTGTACTCACTTTCTGTCTTGTGGGTCAATATCGCAGAACGTGACTGTGTTGGTGGGATAGTGGCGTCGGAAGAAAAGCCTATAAAAGCAGTAAACCAATGGTGAAAAAAATGTTATTAAAGAAACAAAATACAATAAAGAAAACATGGGGAAAACGTGCATTATGTGGATTTGGAGATGATATGCTTTTCTGTAAGTCAAAATGGCTTTAACCTGGAGGAAGCACACATCATCATGCTTATAATGATAGCATTTATGTACTACAGTTTCTAAAATGTACACTGCTACCAATATATCTGTGATAAGCTTAGCCCATGTCAATGTGTCGGTTAGGGGTTTAAAGTATGGTTTAGTTGAAAGTTGTATTCATCTTGGCACCCTACACAAAACCAAATTATGTATTTGGTCAGGATAACCCCATTCAGACTTTGAATCTCATTTACAAGGGGATGCTGGCCAAGATGGCAGCTTAAAGTTTCACACGAGTACCACATAAAAACACAAAAAAACAGAGTGAAAAACAAAACGGTAACAAGTTAAAAACAACATAAAAACATTCAAAATTCACTTAGAAGGGACAGCAGACTTAGTACTCAAATCAAATTGAATCAAATCAGTGCTCAAACATATCCTCAATCCTGTTTTTAAAACCCTGCATGCTTATGAAATAATTTTGTTGTCAAATTGTCTCTGTAGCTCACAACAAGATGATGGTCCAACAACTTTTAAAGTGGGTTGTTGATTGAAACACTGCAGTGAGTAATAAGACCCTGATCCTTTAAACCTGTGTTAACAGTTATGTAATGCCTCTGATTGTGTGCAGGGACTCATGTTGACACTTGCCCTTCAAAAACAAACTTATTATCTTACGTTCAGACATCCAACTTTTGTCAGCAGCAAAATCTCCTTACGTCAGGCCGTGTTTATCTTGTGAGTCAAACATTAACAGCGCACGGGTGGTATCCAGACTTACTTCCTCTGGTTGTCGGTCAGCGTGATGCCTTGCGAAGACACCTTGAAGTGCACAATGGCGGCAGTAGCTGGAGAGGCGGCAGCCAGTGTCTCAGATATGGCCTTGGCAACAGCCTGAGGGCCCGTCAGGGACTCCATCTCCACTGAGTTGATGTAGAGCACGTTGCATGCTGGGAAGAGAGCAGACGTTCAAATCAGACAACAAAAGAAATGCCAAATGGAACGGTCATTCTGTGAGGAAAAAACGACACAAACTGTATGTCTTCCAAAATGCTATTAATGCCTGTTTTGATCTTTCCATGCAAATATATTGATTTCCTCTCATTAGAGAACATGCTGTCCGCAACAAAGCTGGGGTCAAACTGCTTTAGAAACGAATCCATCCAATATCATTCCACATGAAACATTTTGCCTGTTACAGACAAGAAGCCGGACACGAATGTTAACAGACAAAATCTAAATACATCTCAAGGGATTAAACAGGGCCATCGTTAATTTATCTCAATTTGTGCAGGTTAAACATACGCGGACAGACATAAAGGATGCACATTCCAGATGGAAGTTTCCAAATAAAAGTGCACAGGGTTTACCATGGGAATCAGCAGGGGCCCTCTGCACTGGGATAACATGGGTGTCTTGTTGTCAGAACAAGTGGACAGGATGATTCAGGACACGTTAATTACATGGTCATTAATGTCCTAGAATCTCAAAGCTGTGTTGTATTTGATCCTCAAAAAAACAGAGAGTGTCAGAGGATCGCTTTTACCAAAGAGAATGAATGACAGTGAGGTCATGTTTTACCTGCTCCTTGTTTCAGCCTTTCAGCCAATGGATTTGGTACGGCTACTTCTGGCACTTCCTCGGTGAGATCTACAACATGAGACAGAGGAAGTTACTTTTATATAGTTAGTTTGATATTCTTTTGTTTTTATTTAGTAGCACCAAGGGCTTCTGTAATCCGTTCATCAGCATAGGCCTATTACTATGTTAATTATAGGTTCCAGGCTCACCTCTGATATTATATATGGTAGCCTATATGCAATAAAGATACTTTTATGGTAATCACACCTAGCAGCAAAAATATTCACAGATAGAAATGCCTGGTACAAAACTTACTTAACATGTGGGGCAGGAGTTCTTTTTTTCCAAAGTTAGTTTGTGTAACTTGTGAAATACTCTTTCAGTTAAGATGAATACAAAAATTATCATTTGAATAACAATTGCTCATCCAGTGTTACCTTCAATTCACGAAGGAAAATTTGCTTTTTTCGCATGCTACGCAAACTGTACTCAAACACAACAGAATCACTTCAAAATGCATAAATGTTTGCCGAACACACACTTGGATCAACGGACCTGTGGTAGGGATAAGTAGTTTGCAGGGTAGGGCCAGTGGGGTGATAGCATGTTGGTAGACCAAGGCAGACAGACAGCCTGTCAAACAGACACAAGACCCGGTCAGAGACACGCATTGGAGCCACAAAACACTTGGATAAGAAAAATCAGCACACTTCTCCTTTAATAATTCCATTGTGACAAACAAAAACTGACACTTCTGGTTCTATTCCTGTCAAGAGGAACAGCACTTCCCATGATTCAATCTTTTTTTGGTGGGATGGATTTGGTTAAATCTGGATTAGATTTAAAGTAGCATTTACAGATAAACAAACTATTAATTAGAAAAAACACTCATCGCCATTCTGTCGGTATTAGTAGTTGTAGAAAGAAGCAACTCTACGCGGGGAAAAGAGTGAGGAACTGACATATGTTCTGGAGACAGGAAGAAGAAACAAGGAGAGGCAATACAAAAGTGTACAGAAGTCAGCTTGCCCCATTTTCTATTTGGCAGAAGAGACAAAAACATGTTCGCCGTACAGCCTTAGAGTGTAATTAGTGAGGAGAACATGACTTAGATCACTACAGTCAGTCAGTAATTACGGTAGGATTGTATGTTATACAACTTGGAAAGGGGTGCAGATATGTGACAGACGCACAGACAGGAGCATGTGACTTTTTCTCCAATCTCCTCATGGCTTCCCCGAGCTGTCAGTGTACATGTGAGTGTGTGCGTGTTTCAGGCCGTACCAAAGTAAGGCTCGTTGGGACAACCCTTCAGCTTCACTCCTTTAGGGCTGCTCTCGATCAGGAAGTGCCTCACCAGCTCGTTGGTGATGTCGCCTGCGACAAAAGAGAGGGACAGGGGGTCACAGCTGATTACCATGGAGACACCACCTCACATCTTTGGCATTAGCTTTAAGTCTGTCTCCACCCTGACCAAAGAACACAGTAGCTCTCTACTGAAAGAGGAGCTGCACAAATCAGTGGAGTTGTCTTACAAACATAAACATGCATCATGCCCCCCATACCTTTCTTGTTCTGATGCACTGAGGGTGGATGAGAGGCCACCTTCATAGCCAAGCCGTAAGCCCCCCTGAACGAGTGACTGTCCCGGATAACAAAGGCTCCAGGCTCCCTCTCTTTCAGCAGGCCAATAGCTGTAACACAGTAGGCATTCAGTTATGTCACAAAATGAATTGTGAGGGTAGTGATGAATCTCAACAGGTATCAGATAGATTGCCATGGAATTTTGTAGAGATATCAAAGGTCCATGGACAATTCATCCTGATGATTTAGGTGACCCCCTGACTTTTCCTCTAGTGGGACCGTGGGATTGACATCTGGTTTGTAGCAAGGGGCAACCTTCAGGTCTGAAAAGTGAAGCCAATGCGGAAGTGCCTTATACTTGTATTCTTGTCTATTCTCCAGCAGGGGACGACTCCTCTGGTTGCAAAAGGTCACAGTTAAAATGTAAAATAACATACGGCACTAATAAATAAAAAACAGGATAAGAAACAGGTAAAGCACTACAGTGCTTATGAAATACCAGTGTTTTTTGGGACACATTGGCTGCATTGGCTAAATTTGGGTAACAGACTGAGGAGGTCAGAGAAAGTCAGCTCATTAAAGGATTTAAGTGAACTAAACAAAAAGGTAGCAGAAGGTTAAAAGAACGACCAAGAGCAAAGGCGCTAGTCAGTCCATATTTCATAACAACTCCAACTTTTAACAAGCGGCTTCGCTTTAGACACGCTATTGTTGAAGGAGAGAAGCTTGAGATGAATTACTTCACTATTTAGTTCAAGGCCTCAGCCTGTTCACATGTGATGGTTTAAGGAAGGAAGATGGATGAGATGAGTAACACATGCAGATGTTCCCTAATTCTCTACATGTGGTGTGGCTTTTCCTCTGGAAGTGCATGGCACTAAGTATAAACTATGTGTGTGTGTGTGTGTGTGTGTGTGTGTGTGTCTGTGTGTGTGAGTGTGTGAGTGTGTGTGTGATGTCATTGCAGTTGAGCATGTGCTTGTATTTAACATGATATAATCCAATACTGGCCATAAGCAAATGCAGATGGCAGCCAATAGCCACTGACCTCACAACCAAACACACACACACGTACAGAGATGTGTATATACCGATGCATGAGCATGTGTGTGTTCTGTATAACCATGAATATTCATTATTGCGTATACGTGGACATGCATTTATGAAAAGTGATTATGCTAATGCCTTAGGGGGTGGGCCTTTGACATTCAAAACATGGAATATATGGCATATTCTTTGATATAACTGTCTTAACATTTTCACAAACTGGCACACACTTAACCGCCGATCCCCAGCAGGCACCTCGAAGTAAAAATGAAAGGGTAAGAAAACTTCCAATAATTGTTCAAAGGTCATTTAAGGGAAAAGTCTCTCTGCATCTTACCTTGCTCCCTGGAAATGTCTGGCTTGTACCAGAACTTGGATGTGTCTTGGACAAACTTGACATTCAGCCTGCTCTCAGGACTTCCATCTGCAACAAAATCCAAAAGAACGTCAAAAAAAGTAAGTGACAGAGAAGGAGCAAACAGAGAAAGACTCCAAAATGTGTCTTCATGTCACTCCAGATAATGTATATGTCCTTACCGGACATGTTGAACCTTGAGAAGTCAGAGAGGGTGTGGAAGTAGCCGGGATTGCTTCCTCCACTCATTGGGGACATTATCTTCCCGTTCAGAGTGCCATAGGACAGCGCTCCGTTTGGTCTGTCGCCGCTCGACATGCGCCTCTTCTCTGGAAGCTGGGGCTGGAAACCAGGGACTGGGCTGCCCTGCCGGAACCCTATACCCATCCCCATCATCCCCCCATCTTGGTAACCTGCAGGTGAGATGGGGAAGGAGGGAGTGGGTGGTCCCTGGTAGCCCGATGAGCTGCTCTGTCGTGACAGGTTCCCATGTCTCTCATCTGGCGTGGTGTAACCGCTGTGCATGGGGTGACGGTCCAGACTGGGGCTTCTCTGGGATACCTGCGATACAGATGGGTGACGGCCCAAAACTGGACTTCCTTGGGGGTGTGTGATCGATGGCTGTCGGCTGAGCACGGGGCTGCTCTGCATGGGCTGGCCCAAGGACGGCTGTCTGCTGAGGACCGGGCTCCGCTGAGACCCCTGTCCCAAAGAGGCCTGTTTGCTGCTCTGGACTGGGCTGCTCTGAGCTCCCTGAGAAGGACGACGACCAAGAATGGGACTGCCACTGAGACCTACCATACCCACATCAAAGCCGTTAGCTGGTGATGTTTGCTGGCCCATGATAGAACCCTCCTGAATAGCACACGAGCGCTGCTGGAGGAGGGGGTTGTAGGTGGAGCCCAGGATGTTGGTCCGGTGCTGCGCATGGGGACTTCCGTGGCTCAGCGTTGTCTGGGAGGGTTCCAGGGTGGGCGGGCTGATGTCTGAGGCCACATAGCTCCCCAGCAGAGTGTTGGGGCCAAGGTAGGATAGCGTAGGGGTAGTGGTGCCAAAGTAGGAAGAGGTCGGAGAGCTGGAATCCAGGTAGGAAGAAGTGGGGGTATTCAGGGCTTGATATGAGGGGGTGGGAGTTGGGTAGGCACTCTCTGTGGCCTGGGAGCGGAAGCCCGAATCAGTAGTGGGTTGGGATGGAGTGCTAACGCTGCTGGGGTGATCACTGGAAGAAAATTGAAAACGTTTATTAACCAGCTGGCGTTCTACACACATCAAACACACATTTTTATTTGGACGCATGACTTTGCAGACTTAAAAGCATTAAAGGGTTACGGCAGTCGCTAAACGAGCTGCTTGGGGCAACTCCTCACTGTCAATGTACGCCCACTTAGACTCAAAACATGGTAAAATGGGGTCCAGGTTGAAAAAGAGCACAGTAACCCTTTAAGTACCTAAATATTTAGATTTTCTAATTAAATAAGTAGAAAGAATGAATAGCAATTAAACATATGAGTAATTGACAAGGTATATCCTTGCAAAGCAGAAGCCACCTATGGCTCCAAATGACACTATGACGGATGTACAAGTCACATCTATATCATATCATTACTATTTCACTAATTCACTAATATCTGGTTTAAGATCTGGCCTTGGACCAAAAAATAAAAGAGCATTATGTCTTGGGCTCACCCCTGTGAGCTCTGGATGGGGCTGCTGCTGGACAAAGGTGGGTTCAGCGTGTGGGAAGTGGGACTCGGAATTCTCTGCTGGGCTGTCGTCTCTCCCAGTGGGCTGAGGCTCCGAGGTGACGTCGACTGCTCTCCGCCTGCCGCTGCCGACCTTGCCACAGACTCAACATAGCTTCTTGGTGCTGCATGAGAGAGGGAAAAAACATTTACTTTACTTCTGCTGTCTGTATTTGATGTTCCCTTTAGCTTTGTGGCATTGTAGTTGTGTGACGGTGATAGTATGCCAATGAAAAATGTCTCAAGAGAACTGTGAACGCAGAATGGCACAAGATTGAAATAATATGCTGTGACAGTGTATGCTGCCATGAGAGTGGTTGTGACTCTTTTCCAGACAAGAAATGAAAACGGAAATGGTTTTGCCACGCAAGATGTAGACGGACTACAAACTGAGCAATAGGGGAAACAATGGGGTGGAGGAGATTAAATTGATTTGATGATCTGCGGCATTGTAGCAGCACTCTTACCTTCCTCACCCTCACTGCTCTCATCTTCTGTGGAGCATCGTTGGAGATAATCCAGAGAAACAGAATAATGTAAAGGAACAGAGGTACAGCAAAGGAGGTGGGAAGAATATTGTTTGTCTGTGCCCTACTCATTTATTTTGGTGTGTGTGTGGTTATGCAACTCGTCAAATACTGACGCTTGGTCAGACCACATTTTTGTGTTTGTCAGCTGTTAATACAGTTAATAAGTTTGACTTTTTTTCTTCTTTTTTTACAAAAAAAGTTTGGCAGCATTAGAAAACAATAACTACTTGGATTTAATTAGTTTGTGATTGTAATAAAGTGAGTGTTACAACCAACCTGAGCCTGTTTGATTGAGGAGGATTTCTGCTGGGTTGTGGGGCTTCAAACCCAGCGCTGACAGTGGGGTCTTGGCAAGACCAGGAGGGGACCGACCTGAAGAGAATGGGACACTTATCACCACACAGCATCATACGTCACTAACATCTTGACAGCTGCTTCCTGTTTATTTTATCCCCTTTTCACTAAATAAGAAAATGATGCAAAAGTGTATAAAACATTTTTTTTTCTTAATTGTCAATTTCCATAAGGCCTGCAGTAGTTTTTTTTAACAACAGTCTCGCCCGCTTAAAGTTAACCTTTTAGTCTTGATAATCATATTCTAACACACAAGTAAACAGCTGTCAAGACAATACAGCATCAACACATCTTAGCATACAGGGGCAACATGTCCAGAGGGGTGTGCTCATGCTCTGATGGAGGGGAAAAACATGCATTTGACTAATAACAATGTGACACCACCTCACTCTACCAACAGCAGAATAAGGTTTGTGTCAAACACAAAGCAGAGCTGGGTCAAACTGAATAAAGAGTGTTTGGTTCCCCAGGAATCATTCTGGTCATTTTACAGGAGAACGGCATTAGTAATCCTCAGTTGCCACATTTTTTTTTTACATTTGTAGACTTTGTTTTAGTTTTACATTAGCAATCGGTACTGTCCATTGTTCCGTCGGCCCATAATTCTGAAACCCCAGATTTTCTTTGCATCTTATTACTCGTTGCCTTTGTGGTTGGGTTGGTTAGGTTTAGGCGTAAGGAGTAGGATTAGTTATATGTAGGATAAGAATATCAGGGTAAGCCAACCAGAGGCGGTTCATACCTTAGTAGGAAAAAAGAATATTGCGACCGGGAGGGTCGCTCTGGATAACAATTTGGCATGTGCTTCTGTTTACTACTCACAGAGATTGTACTTTCGAAACAATGGGCCTTAGGAACGATGAGAGTTTGTTTTGGGATTAACGGGCTGTCGGACAAATGGACTTTTGGACAAATGGGCCATCGGAACAATGTCATGACACCATGCTAACATCCCTATATTCCTTTGAATCAAATGTTGCCACTTAGTCACTACTGTCCATGAAAGAATAGGCAATTTGATACAGTCTCTGCTACATTAACACTAGAGGGAAAGATCAGGAGTAGAGTGTGTAGCCTCTGTCATATTTAGACCTATACTACTAGAATCATCCCAACTGTAAATGTGTTTGATTCAAAAATCTGTCCTGCACCTCTAGTCTTCCTTTAACAATGCCAACCACTCCTGTATTCCCCTCCAGTGTAAACACAAATGATTATGTGGGGGGAGAAAAAAAAGAAAACTCTTGTGGTAACAAACACATAATGCTAGCACAATTACCAAAGGACAAGACATAAATGGCTGGGTAATTAAGACTGCTGGGGGAGGGCAGGCAGGGTGCTGTTTGTGGTGAAACAAGGCAGCAACAGGAACCCAAACACAGATTACAACAGCAACACAGAGAGCAGCAGCAGCTGAGAGAGTGGAAGCATGTCTTTGGGCTTTACGTGTTTGGATCTATGGATGAGTGTTTGTGTGTGTTGACAATGAGGCAAATTTTTGACTTTGTCAATGCATGAAAGTGGAGGTTATTCCCTGGTGTATTTGTACCACAAGTATCTCTTTTAGCAGCAATAGACTTGCAGGTACTTTACTGTTGAATATACAGTATGTCTGATGTGTGTCCTACAGTGTGTCCATTGTGTTGCCAGTGCTGCTCTCATGTGGCTCCCATGCCAAAGCAGTGCAGAACTGTGATAAGTGATGGGTAAAGCTCACTTGGGGAGAGGGAAGGGATGGGGGGTCCATTTGGCTGACATTGTGGGACAGTGGTACTCCGGTAGAAAGATGTGCATCCTCCACTTACCAAAGAATCCAAATCAATTATTTGTACTTGCCACCTAGATGCCCCACATTTAATCGTGGGTGGTGTGTGTGCGGGGCAGGCAAAGTCAAAACTTGGGAAAGTGATTTGAGGACTACTACTACAACACTATTCAAGACAACTGTGTAATTGAAATAAATGGGAAATAAATATAGTGTCACATGCACTAATCAAGTAGCTAACCATGCACCTTTAACAAATTTTGCAAATAACTGCAAAACAAATCCTTGTTAAATGACGTTTGTGCTCAGCTGAGAAAAATAATCTAGGTTTGAGGTCTATTACACTCACAAACAATGAAGGAAACCTTCTGTTTTTTCCCAAACGCATATCTAACGCAACAATTTGATCTCGATGTGTCCCAGTTCCCACGTTGATGGGAAGGGAGGGGTGTTGCGCCGCGTTAAAAATATGGAGCGACTTTTATGACTAGGTTTTATGGGTGTGCCCTGGGGGAGATAGGCAAGTGGACTGGATGAGATCATTGGTAGAGTTGGCCAAATACACGTAACCTAACACGTGACTCTTGTTTTAGTGTGGAGTACATGTGGGACTGCGTGAAGCAGTTGGGAGAGGGCAGTTTTGTCAGTTGCTTTGTCCATCTGTATCTTTTCTATTTTCCAGACTTTGAGAAAACATGTTTTTGTTGTAAGATCAACTTATTCTCTGTGAAACATTTATACTGAACAAAAGACGCTATTTAATCGGTTACACCAAACTGACTTGGCTTTTTTTGCCTCTCTTGCCCCTTTTTTTCCTCATTCTTCATCTCCCGAATGATGACTGCAGACATTCTTGCAAGAAAAGATTAATTCAGTCTTCACGAGATGCGGCCACTCAGGCATTTTGATGAGCCAGAGCACTGCAGCGTCCCACTCGTACATTGGAAATGCAGCCCATTTACAATCTGTATGAATATGGTAATAGTGGGGATTTTTTTCCATACTGCTTGGAATATGTGGTACCAAATGAAGCACATAAAGAGAGAATGCAAGTGGAGATTAAGTACCTTGATCAACTGCCAAGAGTCTCAAATCATGAGGGAACCTTTTATACCTCAAGACTTTTCCTACAACAGTTTTCAGTATCACAAGTTATACTCAAATCTCTGTTCTTACACTTATAAAAAGAGAGACATCCATAAATTGATGAATGCTAAGTAACATCATTACTAAAATATGCCATTTAAAAGTGAATGTAAGTACATAAATCTAAAGAATAATCTCAGAATAAGAGTAATACCATTGTCAAATACAACCTTCAGTTAGGATTTCATTTAAATCATGTTTTCATCTACTGTAACTAAGCCTGAGCTCTACAGTGCCCACTGTCAGCCGGATGGGGGGACTTACACAGGTTGAAGTAAGGGGTTTGCGGCGAGATGGGGAAGGCAGGGGTTTGGGGAAACACCTCACCACCAACTATGGGTGTAGGACTGATGGGGCCACCCTCCATCTCCTCGAAGGCCTCGCGGTAGCTGTGCATGTGTCTCTGAGGAGCGGAACATGTCAACACGTAAAGAAAAAAGGCGGGAAAACAACGTATGTCCCACCATGTATGTTCAAAATGTACACTCTCTACCTCCTTAGGTCGTCCGCCAGGGTTCATCGCTATGGCGTTGGCAAACTCAGGAGAAACACAGCGGACGGGGGACCGAAGTGGGACATCTGCGGAGGGGTCGTCGTCAGGATGGTACTGGCCGTCGCTGGTGATGTAATGGCGGGGAAGGGTTGCAGGCACGTCGTCCAAGGACACTGTATGCGCCTGGACACCTGGCAGGACACGCAAGTTGAGTTTTAAAAATTTAGCAAGGGCTGGTCACTACTGCTCTATCACACTTCTTTCCTCCAGCAATGCCATCATCGTCATTAGAGGTTTTCAGCCATTGTGAATGCTCAACGCACAGGCCATCGTGTGCATTTTGGTTGTGGTTCTCAAAACTGTTGAATTCAACATGCACACACACACAAGGTTAATGAAGGGTTAGCTGCTGATCAAACTGAAGCCCATTGGATTTATTTCATTCATTAATATACCCACTGAATGATATCTCCAACAAAACAAGTGTTTCAAATTTAGGGAAAACCTTGACCTTAAAAATATGTTACATAAAAAAGATGGCCATCCCTTCTAGCATCAGCTGAAACTATAATAAGTGAAGTATTTTTTGGAAAGACCAAGAATGAAAACGTTCTCTCATACAAATAATCAAGACTTTCTGATACACTGGTGCAATCTGCATGTTTCTTATCTAATGCGTCAATGCGGCCAGATTTGGCTGAACCTCAAAGCAGCCAGTAAACTCATTTCAGTTAATCTGCTCTGAACTAAGAGAGAGAAAGAAAGCTACCAGCATAAAACAAACGGGACTTAAGTTAACAGTTTTATGCTGATATGCAATGCCATTGACTGGCGGGTGGAGGTAGCAAAGCATGAAGTGCTTGCCAAAGCTGCACGGCCAATGTGAAAGAATATCACTGGCTGCCCTGTGCTTTGGAACAAGATGAAGGTTAATGGGAGAAAAAAAGGGGAGAACAATGGGCTTAAGAAACAAGTGGGACAATTGGGTGAATAAATCCTGTGGTGTTGTGTGTGCTGAAGCAGCTTATCCTCTGTTTTTTTTCTAAGGGTTACTTTCTCCATGTTTCAAATTCACTGAAAGAGTTGAATGAATAATGTGTTGGATGGACCTTGAGTTAATTTATTGTTTCTTTCTTAGAGCTCCTCTTTCACACCTGCATGAGAACATGCCTTTGCCAAGATGGAATGATCTCATAGGGAGACTGAAAACAAACACAGGCTGACAGTGACCTTAACAATGTGACTGAGGGCTTTTATCAGTTTGATGCTGATAGACTCCCATAAATGTAGAAACAAAAGACAAACCCGACGAGCCTGTTATGCAAATGTGAAAATATTAATATTCAGCTTCATTTTGAAGTGAGGGTGCGAAGACCTGGCCAAATATCTGTGGGGAAAATTTATAGATAGCAGCTGTGGAAATTCGAACAGTTAAATAGTTAGGAATGAAGGTAGCTGCCATCGCCACCTCAGTATTAAATCTGAGGCTTTAAAAAATATTTTCTCTAAATTTTCTTACCTCTAAGTTACCTTCTGTTTATAAATCAATGTACTTATTTTATATATGTATTATTTTTAAATAAAAGAAAGAAATCAAAGATGAATAAGTGCCAATCATGCTATCTGTCAGGATGCTTGGTGTTGGCGAGGGGTTGGTTAAAAAAAATCTTGGAACCGACAGCTTTGCAAAGCATGTAGTTCAGTCAACACCCCCAAACAGAAACACACCCACCATCGCACCGAGCCCAGAAACTGAGAACCAGATGTACCCACGATGCACTGCTCAGCAGCAGAGTACTGTCAAACACTGCGTTGTTGCCCTAGCCACTGCTAATGGCTTCCAGCTGGGACGGCAGGAGATTCTCGAGGGCTGACTTTTCTCAGCTATTTAAAATCCAGTCATCATGTCTATAAGCATGGGGTTGTTTCCAAATACATCAACTTGATAGGTGATCCAGAGTCTCCATATGTGCACACCTGCAACTGGGCGAGGTCATTTCAGGTAAGAGTGAAGGGGTTGCATTCCTGGCAAGGTAAGTGCAGATCAATGAGAGAACTGTATTTTCTTTATAGTCTTTTGTTTAAAAAAAAGTCTACATTTGTGTAATAGTGCTTGTAGAACAGAAACGTCATAATGGCGTTCATTTCAACTCTACAATCCAAGATCTACTCTGTTACATTTAACTTTGATGTTGCGTTGCATCACTAAAAAGGGCCCTAAAACCGAACAATCCTGTCTGCATTGTGGTCGCTTTCTCCCAGTGGACACATAGGGCTTTAGCGATTTTTCCAACGAGGACTGTGGGGTCGCTCCTGGATTTGGTGTCCTTTGTCTGGCTTTGTAAATCTTCAAAATAGTGTGAGTAAAAAAAAAAAAGCAGCCTTGAATGAAGCCAGTGTATCCCAGCCTCGGTATTGTTCCCCGAGTTTGGCAAAATGGATCTTGTGACATGTACTCTCCTGGCAAGAGACAGAGCCTCCTTTGTGCCTCTCTTGTCTAGTTCTTGTGGAACTTTAACATTATCCAATTTGGATGGGTTTTTTTACTCCGTACTTGAGGTAATTCCCTGACCTTGAGGTAGAAAACTGTAACAAAGAAGAATAAAGGGTGAGTATGTATGCAGAGAGGATTCAGTGGTTAGTTTGATGATCCTATACAAACCCGACAATGACAGAGGAAAATGTGTTACGCGTGAAAGGGAGAAAGAGGAAGTGAAACAAAAAGAAAACTGAGTAGCAGCAGATTGGGCAGTCAATTATTAAACAAGAAATGAGAAAGGATTAAATGCAAATCAAAGCCCACCGCACTCGAAGGCAAAGCAGATACAGACTTGAACTTGGACTACTTGAAGGAACACTTGAAAAAAGGACCTCTCCTTCCTTTTTAAATGTTCCTTCAGACAAGATGGAAGAACCAACCCGAGAGGGAGTGAGAAGGGCGGTGGTCAGACTGAGAAGAGGTCATGCTGGGGATGACACTTTGGACACGAGCCGAGTATTCTGGGTAAACAGATGGATGATGACAGAAAGGAGAATGATGACAAAATTGGAAGGAAAAAGAAAATGACCGAGACCCGCCTATAAGAAGAACAAGAAGGTAACTGAAAGATATTTTCCATGTAAATATATATACAGTATATATATATATAGCAGTTGTGTGAAAAAGTGTTTGCCCCCTTCCTGATTTCTTATTTTTTTGCATGTTTGTCACACTTAAATGTTTCAGATCATCAAACAAATTTAAATATTAGACAAAGATAACACAAGTAAACACAAAATGCAGTTTTTAAATGAAGGCTTTTATTATTAAGGGGAAAAAAAATCCAAACCTACATGGCCCTGTGTGAAAAAGTGATTGCCCCCCCCTGTTAAAACATAAATTAACTGTGGTTTATCACATCTTTGGAAAGCTGAGTTCAATTTCTCTAGCCACACCCAGGCCTGATTACTGCCACACCTGTTCTCAATCAAGAAATCACTTAAATAGGACCTGCCTGACAAAGTGAGGTAGACCAAAAGATCCTCAAAAGCTAGACATCATGTTGCGATCCAAAGAAATTCAGGAACAAATGAGAAACAAAGTAATTGAGATCTATCAGTCTGGAAAAGGTTACAAAGCCATTTCTAAAGCTTTGGGACTCCAGCGAACCACAGTGAGAGCCATTATCCACAAATGGCGAAAACATGGAACAGTGGTGAACCTTCCCAGGAGTGGCCGGCCGACCAAAATTACCCCAAGAGCGCAGCGACGACTCATCCAAGAGGTCACAAAAGACCCCAGAACAACATCCAAAGAACTGCAGGCCTCACTTGCCTCAATTAAGGTCAGTGTTCATGACTCCACCATAAGAAAGAGACTGGGCAAAAAGAGTTCCAAGACGAAAACCACTGCTGAGCAAAAAGAACATAAAGGCTCGTCTCAGTTTTGCCAGAAAACATCTTGATGATCCCCAAGACTTTTGGGAAAATACTCTGTGGACTGATGAGACAAAAGTTGAACTTTTTAGAAGGTGTATGTCCCATTACATCTGGCGTAACAGTAACACGGCATTTCAGAAAAGGAACATCATACCAACAGTAAAATATGGTGGTGGTAGTGTGATGGTCTGGGGCTGTTTTGCTGCTTCAGGACCTGGAAGACTTGCTGTGGTAAATGGAACCATGAATTCTGCTGTCTACCAAAAAATCCTGAAGGAGAATGTCCGGCCATCTGTTCGTGACCTCAAGCTGAAGCGCACTTGGGTTCTGCAGCAGGACAATGATCCAAAACACACCAGCAAGTCCACCTCTGAATGGCTTAAGAAAAACAAAATGAAGACTTTGGAGTGGCCTAGTCAAATTCCCGACCTGAATCCAATTGAGATGCTGTGGCATGACCTTAAAAAGGCGGTTTATGCTCGAAAACCCTCCAATGTGGCTGAATTACAACAATTCTGCAAAGATGAGTGGGCCAAAATTCCTCTACAGCGCTGTAAAAGACTCATTGCCAGTTATCGCAAACGCTTGATTGCAGTTGTTGCTGCTAAGGGTGGCCCAACCAGTTATTAGGTTTAGGGGGCAATCACTTTTTCACACAGGGCCATGTAGGTTTGGATTTGTTTTCCCCCTTAATAATAAAAACCTTCATTTAAAAACTGCATTTTGTGTTTACTTGTGTTATCTTTGTCTAATATTTAAATTTGTTTGATGATCTGAAACATTTAAGTGTGACAAACATGCAAAAAAAATAAGAAATCAGGAAGGGGGCAAACACTTTTTCACACAACTGTAGCTGATTCCTGTTATCAGTTTGGAAATGAACCTACGACATTAAAAAGTGAAACAGTTTTGTCTTTACGGTCTCTAAACAAATCATGAAGAAATTTGGATTTCTGTGAAACAGGAAGTAGACAGCAATCAGACTGGGGTCTCATTTATCTTCCACAAACAATAACTACATTTCTAAATCATAACGGTCTTAAACTGCTATTTAGTATTGCGTAATGTGGACCATTGCTCTTCATTTAAATGTCAGTAAAGTGACCTGAGCCGTACTGTTGATTCTAGAAAACCTCTTTCTGGCAATAGTAATCTCAGGGCTCAGCTATCACACTGCTATATGTTGACTTGCTTGCTGCTCTGCAGGATGTCTGGTGTGCTTATCTAGAGACAGTCAACCTGCTAGACTGGAGAGAACACTTCCTGTTTGAGCCCGAGTGATGGGGACTGATGAGGTGACATTCAGGAAATGAGATAAGGACAGAGCGGTGTTTTCTGCACAAGGCAGGGATGGTGGCATCAACATTGCTCTTCCGTACATGTTCTGTCTTGCCATCAAAACGAAGCTTACACACATACTGCTACATTGAATAATGCATAGTATCTACTTGTCCAGTGCCCGTTTGGCCGATTGCTTGGCCTGTGGTATTGCTGCTTGCAGCTTTCTCGAGAACCGCTCATCCAAACAACTTCACACTTCGATACAACTTTGATTGTATGAACAGTTGTCGAGAAACTCTAAGGACAGGCATACGTACAGACAGAGACTCCTTCTATTTTAATTAGACAGTTTGATGTATTTGTAATAGGAATTTGGAATATAGCAATGATCATCAAACAACAGGGTGATATTTTTGTCTCCACTGGGAAATGGATTGGTTGTGGAAATAATGAACCAAACGTAGTGTTTGGGTGCTTCTTGAGAGAAGTAATAGTGGAAGGCTACAACCAAGAGTCATGTTGTAGAGTGAGCCCAACAGACAACAGGTGGGCTGTAAAATGAAAAGGACAGCCCACCATCAGAGTACAACTCTTTAAAACAGAAGAGCCACACAGGACCTAGGACATGATTGTATGGAAAATGAGAATTACACAGCTTCATGACATAACTATGACATGACATACTGTATTTATCTGTGTCATCATGCTATGTAAAACTAAACTAAAGCTATATTTGGGTTGTCAGGTAGTCACATCTTTGACCTCAGCATATATAGTGTTCCTAATGCAAACTTTACGAATTAAATAGTTTTTGCAGCAGGTTGCACCTAGTATTGTGTGAGGCAAACAGTTTATCAATCCTTTAAAAATCTATAAAATCAATTTTATACATATGAAGAAGCAATCTGCTGTTGGATAACAGGTAATTCTCTCTGGGTGCTGAGGTCATAAATGGAGCTATGGTATTCAGATGACATAACTTAATGTTAGATCTTACCAGCCACTCTTTGTGCAACCAGACCTTCAACGTTCAAGACTTCATCTTGCTCACTTTCTCTTGGCTGGGGTGATGCTGAGGCAGTGCTAGGGCTTCTCTGGTGTTCAGAGACCTCTCCAGACTGGGAAAATGTGCTTGGTGGGTAGCTGTTGATGGGCTTGAGTTGGAAGTGACCAACTATAGCAGGGGAGGCATGTTGGGAAGGACTGATTCCAGCTCTCTCAGATGTGTAACACGGAGATCCCTGCACCGATACAGGCTCTGGTGTACTCGGCTTCCCAGGTGAGACCTGAGGCTGTGACGAGTGGCTGGCTAGGCTGGGGCCAGAAAAGTGGGTGTGAATGGTGGCATCGGCCTGGGAGAAGGACGGCTGGGTGGTCACTACAAAATTGTTTTCCCGCAGTGGAGCACTTTGGGACTTTGACACCAGCGGACGGCCTGGTTCTAGGTCCAACATGAGGAGATTAAGAGTTTCAATAGATTTCTCAATTTCTTGCTGGGAGGCGCTGTGGCGATGAGGGAATTGTGGGAGGCTGTGGTGGCTGGGCATCACTGCTACAGACGGAGGTGGACTAAAAGTGAGGCCCTCAGTTACTGGCTCCTCTGGTACACCAAACTGCTGCCAAACATTGAGACCACGCTGGACGGCATCCCTGCTACTGGTGGTGCGGGCGGGAGCTTGTGGCAAAGAGTTTGGCTCTGCAGCAAACGACTGAGAGTTGTACAAATTGCCATTCTGTGTAGCCATGTAATTACCGGAAAATGGGTCCGAATGACTTTGGGTCAAAGCGACAGGTTTGTTGGATATGGCAACTTGCGTCCGGACAATTTCCAGAGGCTTTTCTGGGACACTGCGCTCCAGATACGGTACATGGTCCTGGCCATTGACAAGTGACTCAGGCTGGTAGTAAAGATCAGCTGGTGTAGCCCGACCATCTGTGGAGGAGAATGTCCCTAGACTGTCCACACTGTTGCCCTCCTTACGGATAGGCAGCTCATCATCTAAAATGTCTGTCTCACGGTCAATGCTACTGTTCCCATTGACATGGACCTGGACAGGAACCAGGTGAAGCATGCCTCCAACAGCAGAGGTCGGAGTGGACAAGTAGCCCTGTCGATGCATTGGCCCCTCCAAGCCACTCAGCAGCTGCTCCAGCTCCTGTTTCTCTTGGGGACTGATTGGTTGTTGTGCAGGAGGGGCGTGGTGATGGACTGAGGGTAGCTCCTCACCAACAGGAACGTGTGTCTGGCTCACTGTGGATGCCTGAGGAGCTGCTGTCGCTTCATCAGTTCGGTCAGTTTTGATGGAGGCAGTAGAGTTTCCTGAGTCGCTGCTCACTGACAAGGCATGGTCAACCGCAGGTAGGGCATGTTCAGCAGCAGTGGGCAGGAGGCCATTCGCTGTGACCGATCCTTCAACAGACTCCTTTTTACGAACTTTGGCGTAGAGGCTGCCATCCAGGGGTCCTTCGGTATGGATGACTTCTAAAACAAACAAGAATGACAGAGGCTCATTAGAATAACATTAGGCCGACGACAACAGTTAGCAACCATTCAGCTTTCCACAACCTTTAAGTATTTTCAAAGCCATAGTACTTTGGCTATTACAGAAATAAATGTTTTATCCTCTAAGCACACAGGATTCAATAAAGGCGCAAGGGAGCAAAAGTAGCGCTATCATAGAGGGAAACTGGGGTATTGGGAAATTGTGTGGGCATGGCCTAAACAGCTGCAGTTAAACTAAACACTGGCTCACGTCCACCTATTCTACCAGCTTCAGGAAATGAGCAGGGTCTGTGGCATGCAGTGTGGAAAAAACGATGAAATTACAGGAGCCTGCCTCGCAGTTTCTCAAGCCAATTGGATTAATCTGCACCACCTGAGGGATACCAGCATAATAGAAGATGAATCAGCTGTTGATTTTATTTGCTTATGATCCCTATGACTGTAAACAGGATAAGCAGATGTAAAAAGCGGATGGATGGATGAACACAACAGACTTTAAATTGAATCGGATGGAATGCTGCAGTGTGGATTGTGTTCACTGAACACAAATGCACATACACACGTACTGTACATGCATACGCTCATGCACATACACATTCACACACAGCCACACCCAAGTCCAGTGAAGAGGAAGTTGGGTGCCCCGATCAAGAGAATTTAGTCATCACTGGAAAATCAGCCTCACTGAGTAAGGAAGGCTTTTCCTGGACTCCGTCACCGAAAGCAAAACAAAAAGCTCAAAATACTGAGAATCTCACTGAAATGGTTGAGAGACACACACATACTTTTCTCCTTCCTCCCGCATTCCCTCATACAGCCAACACAGTGCATCAAGGCAGACAGATTTATGTGTGATGTCGGAAAAAGTCTCAACTACGTCTCCTCCAGACCATTTCAGGGCTCAACAATAAGGATTGCGCTTTTTTTCCGGGAGCAGTAAAATGACACTTTTGCCGAGGAAATCTTGCAACTCACTTGCACGATTGGGCAAGCGGTAAAAAACCATTAAACGCATATTTTTTTTCCCAGAGCTGATGATGGAAGTAGCTAAGAAGTGAAGCCATTTTGCTTCCTTCCCATCTGAGAGTTGCACATGCGCAGCACTGCTCAGACAAGACAAAGTTTATAAGCTATACCACCAGCAATCAGTTCAATCATTCTGGAAACAGGAGTTTAGTTGGGTGGATACGAGGCTGTGGGTCAATCTCATATATTTAAATAAAGATTAAACCCTACAATTAATTTTGGTCTTTTGATAATTGCCAATAAATAAAACATTTTGCATAAGGGCAAGAAAAAATGTACTTGAATTTCTGACCCACTTGCCCGTCCGGGCAAGGGAAAAACTGCATACACGTTAAACCCTGGATTTAGTAACAGTTTGTGTGGTAACGCATTCAATAACATAACAATACCTTGTCAGGTAATTCCTCTTCTACTGTCCATTAAAGTTCCCAAGTAACCTCATAACTCATGGTGAGACATGTCCTGGTTCTACAGCTTGGGAAAGGAGCTGCACAAAGAAGCTGTCTGTGTCTCTGTAACTTATAGATATCTCCATCTCAGCTTTAGTGAATACTGGGCTCTGTAATGGAGCTTGGTGGGCGTACACACAAGCCGGGCACTGCAAGGTCTCTTTGGCTGGCTCGGGGCAACTTGCCAAGGGAATGGCGCACTGTGGCGGCTGCACTGTCAGGCTGCTGGTGGAAACAAATCTGGGAGCTCTCGATCACAGACAAGCACAGTGTATGTTTTTTACTGTTAATCCGTTTACTTTGATTTGTACTTTGAGCGGGCCACATGCGGGAAAAAGAGGCTAAGATAGCTTCTAGCATGTCTAGTCTGATAATGGCCTGTTGCAGTATCGCATGCCATTTGGACAGGGTATCTTCAGTGTCAGTACCGTTGTCATGAATACCGTACTCAATACAGACCGTAGCCCAAAAAATGCATTGCAAATGCAAACTTTCAGATTTCTGGTAGCTTCTAATGTGAATTCTCCACTAAAGCCAATGCTGTCTCCCCTGAAAAGTTAGCTGCTAAGACATTAGGCTCCAAATCAAGTCATCATTACACGTTTATATAGCTCATGAAACTGCAAGTATCAAGTTTGGTGCACTGGATGCATTTCCGTCCACATGAGTGCAGACACACTTAAAGCGTCAGTCATGTAGACAAACATAGACATAAGTCGCGAAAGAAGAGCTCCCCTCACTTTCTACATTTTAGTACCTTTATAATCACCTGCCCCGTAGCCAAATGTGACTGGTGCAATCGGGATGATAAGTCACATGGCTCAACTGATGTCACACACCCTGAATGTCTGAATTACAACGCTTCAAAGGAGTCAAAGTCTTGTCGAAAGAAACAACAGAAACACCTGCCCTACCTGTGCGAGCAGTGGAAGTCGGCACAATCCCAATCTAAGATGATAAAATCCCTGCAGAGTAGCCCCCAGGGTGGGACATGGGCAAATACAGCAGGAGTTTGGTGAGTTAGTTTTGGCTACTGTTCGTCCTCCTCCTCCCTCTACTCAATAGCTGTGTGGCCGGACCAGGAGAGCTACGGCAGTTGCTGGCTGCTCAGTAGCTCTAGTCTAAAGGCTGCCCCTGCTGTGTGTGCGTATGTGGGAGGTCTATCACAACAGCCTGTTTGACGGTGTATGTGGGAGGGGGGGGCTCTAGAGTTTGAAAGAATGACATCAGTCCCTGTAGGTTAGGCTCTCTTCCTTGAGGTATACAGTTTGTTAATAGTCCCCATTGGTCAAATAACAGATTTTTCATCTATACAAATATATCCAATATATAAGACTTGTTTAAGCTATAGCTGAAAAAAAAAAAAAACGTGTTGAAAAACATAATATGCCGTCAGCGGCATGCGTAAAAATGAGCCCTTTCCATGCACACATATACAGAGATGCCCCTCCTTTAGCCCACTGGTGTCGAAAACACTCATGTAATGGAAAGAGTTACCTCGTCCAACAACAGTCATTTAATGAGCTCTCTCCAAGTTAGGAAGCAGGGAGAAAACTCCACCCTGCTTCAGGCAGATGGAGAAAACAGAAAGGCCTAGTGGGTAAAAAATAGAAAGATGAATAGATGAATTTGAGTGGCTGCTGATCCGGTATGGAATATAAGAAGGGCTCACTGTTTTATTGGTTAATATTAAAAATGACGCAGTCAGATGTAGAGGATTTAACGCAGTTGTTCCCTTGGATGGTTTGAAAATGCAACCTACTGTAACAAACGCACACATACACACAAAACACAACCTTTTTTTCCCACAGTTTGAGAGCTCCTCAGCCTGCGGTCCAGTTCATATCACCAAGCCATCTGTACACATTAGCATGCAGGACAGTCACTTCACTGTCCAGAACAATTCCACTTTGGTCATTCTGGCTGATAACAATAAACATGTGACTTTGGCCTCCACAAAACTTTGTCTCTATTGACACCCTCATTTCAAGCAGATTGAATTCAATGGAAGTTCCATGATTCTGGATTACTGCGATACTGTTTTCCCTCATTTGACTCACAGATTGTCTCAACAACTCTCTTATTTTCTCGCTTTAAGCGCTCTCTTTCTACCTCCACATCCTTCCCCTGGCCTCTCACTCGATTCTTTTACTGGTGATGATGATGGCAATGACAGCGATGATGCCAGCTGTAGTCCTACGGTCCCACTCTTGCATGAAATGAAAGACCAATTCAGTTTCCCCTCTGTCTTCACTTTAGAAGCGACGTGACTGCTAAGCGATCCACAGAATCCCCATTTGTACAACAGGAAATCTAATATGTCACTTTTTATGCCAAGCAGACTATTTATGATGAGACTGCTTCTGTGCACGGTGCTATGTCTGCTGCTGTTTTCATTCGGCTGAAATGAACACTAGTAAGCCTCTACAAATAGCCTTTCCGTGTTCCTTCCGGTGATAAGAAAGGGTATATGTATGTGCGATATCTTACACTGATTGTGTCCATGTTGGTGTGTGTTTGTAAGTACACCCCAGGAGGGAAATACTTGCTCTGTGATCCCAAGCATATTAGTTAGAGGAGAATGTCTGCGATCCCGACCCCATCGCCCCGGCTAATTATACAACAGCAGGGGAGAGTGAACCATGTCTGACCAGTCTGGAATGACCAATTGGTTGCGTCGCTACATCCTCTGCAATAGAAACGCTTCGGGGCTTATCACAAAATGCTTTTAAAAAACAGCAGCAACTTAAATTAAATCAAGCACATCATGATCATAAAATGCAGGCGTTTCTACTGTTCTCAAACATATACGAGTCTAGACAGAAAAATATTGCACACGCACAACATCTAAACTGAACTCAACAAAATACAAAATGTCGAAAGTGGAAAGGTGGTGCCAGATATTTTGAGGTTCTGTGCGCCAGATGGTGCAACTGTGTGAACTCCTGATCTTTAAACCCTGACCTCCGACCCCTGTGGCAATAGATCCCCTTTACAGCGGAAATAGCATGTTTCCCCTTTAACTTACATGGACAAACATGCCATGTGCTACTCTGTACTTGTGTATGTGCGTGTGAGAGAGAGAGTACGTGTGTGGGCATTCCAAAACAGTTGAGGTCTGTTGGCCACAAGTGTGACATTAATAAAAAGCAATGATGAAACATTTTCTGGGAACGTCCCCTCAGGCCTCAAATGCTGCAAGCACTTATAGCCGGACGAGAATAAAGCTCTGAGAGTATTTACATTCAAGAAGCCCGAGAGAATTAAGCGCTTCAGTAGCTGGACATGATAAGTATACAAGTTTAGCCTGGTACCATATTTGGTCTAAGTTAATGGCTGAATTATTGATTTGGCAACAAAGCATTCCTGTGCTGTGTGAGAGCGCTCAAGGAAGATTAAAGTAATACTGTGGCCTTGTAAATGATCTACACAAGAGGCTATTAGATCACCTGAGCCGGATTAATTTGACTTGTGAAGATCAGAGAAGACTGATGAATTAAAAAA